ATAGGATAGATATATATCTTTATTGCATTTGAACAAAGTTATTACAATAACGGAAAACTTATGAACTACAAACGGTGGTCATATCGATTTATGTGATTTCTACCTGACAAATCGAACATAAGAGGATATTGTAATTTCATATTTTGACGGGTAGGTGCAACGTGAAATATATAATAAACTGAAAAAAAGAAATAAAATATTATTAAAAATAATATTTATAAAAATATATTAATAAAATTATACAATATTTAATATTCATAAATATATATTCGTTTACATATATACATACATATATTAATATGTTTAAAATTTTAATTTAATCTATTCATATTGTTACGAGCTTGAGGTTCGTGACAATAAAAACTGCCGATTGAATTACCAAAATTAACCATAATTCACTTTACACTAATTAAAACTTAGAACACTAATAATTAACTACACTGATTCACTTTATTTCGCTCCGAAGCTTCGCTTGTCTCGCTAAATTCAATACTTCCCCGATCGCACCTTGCAGCGCCTATAAATACACATTAGTATCGAAACATCCAGAACATTCAAGTAAATACGCGCAAGGCGTCGAAAGTTCGAGTGTCGGCTTCTAGAAGCTTAGTTCTTCGTTTCGACACCAGATGGCGCCGTCGGTTAAAATATTAGTGATTTCATTTTGTGGAAAGCTCCCCTCGCTCTCGTCCCCGACACTAGATGGCGCTAGTGCCGGGTACATGACGACAACTTAGGTGCGCAACAATATATATACTGCAGAGAAAAATTTAACAAAAAAAATTCAAGTACTTATGAAAAGAGAAAATACATATAATTTATTATTATGACTGGAACTTCAAATAATAATCCTTAAGTATTTTTTTAAATATGCAGTACTACTCATATTTAGACATTTCATTACATCTGGCTATCTATTATGGAAGGAAAAGTTTTACAAGCAAGTAGATGGCTCAACTGCACCTTCCATTGTTGCCAAGATATTCATGGAAGACTTTGATAAGAAAGCCCAGCTGTACGTAGATGGTCTTTCATGTATAGGGCAAACAAAAAGATCAATTAGAACCCGCGTAAAAGAACATGTAGCTGACTTGACCAACGTTCCGGGAAGTGTTGTGATCATATCCTAGACGGCCCTCGACAAAAATCCTCGCGAAAAATCATCGATTCCTACCAAGGATGATACGTGTGGCTATTGAAATTAAAAAAAGCATCTTAATTTCAATAGAGAAGACTGGGAACTACGACCTGTTTGGAATCCTCTTATTAATCAAATTAAAAATAAACCCAAGCATACCACTGCAAGACTTCAAGAAACAGTTAGTTTATTCTGCGTAGATCGGGTCATTAATAATAATAAAAAAGCTGAAGGTACTCCGGATTAACACTGACATCGGAACGTCAGTCCCCTCAGTCTCCCGTGAACATGGGTGCTGGAAAGCACCCGAAACGTCGGCAATTAAAAATAATGAAAACTAAACGCGATAAAATTCATTTAATTAATATTCATATTGATTGAAACATTGATAAACATAAATATTTTAATTTGTTTATTAATGACGTTAATTCAGATTCGAATAAAAAATAACACGTCTATTTATACAATCAACCAATGTGCGATCAATTTTAAATTATATATGCATATACATACGTGTGTGTGGCAATGTGTTATACATAATTTCCACACTCTCTTTGATAAAGGAGAAGTAGAGACAGCTTTTGTGTCAGGAGATAATATCGAATCGGCCAAGTAAACATCTATAAATCCGGGATAAGCACCATTTGGTTTGCGGTCGTAGTATGTAACATCCTAAATTGTTTGACTGAGATGGATAGTATCCGGTTTATGAAACTTATACTCCTGTTATAGGGAAACAAATAAGGAAGACGAATATAATATTTTTGTCTCTGTTGGGTTTTCATCCGCCACAGTTTTCCACGGTTATTATATAATAATACGCGATTGTAATTATTACAAATTTTGATGTTTCTTAAATCTGGCTTTTGTAAGTTTTATAATTTAAATTTCAAGAAATGCTTTAAGTAAAGTAAAATATAGTTAGTACTTTTAAAGTTTCTTCCAAAAAAACGTTTCTGTAACTACATTATTGCGTAGAAGTATGTGTCTTGGCTGGTTTAGTCATTTACTTCGTTCTGTAAATTGCTCTGACAAATTGGCACGTCTACGAAAATTTATTTTTAGACACTTCTTACTTCAAAAGGTACGACAAATAAAAACTATGACAACAGTAACCTTATATTACCCAATCTGTTTAAAATAAGGTCTGCGACTCTAGATAAAAAATTTAAACAAAACTGACTTAAAAAATAAATCCCACAAAATTAAATGACTAAATTTAGAACTTAAGTTCTTCGCACTATGATTAAAGTATTTATTTCATATCTTTTGTCATACTAGCTTAGCATGGCCGGTACAGTAATTTTCTCCACGGTAATTGTCTCCACGCTGTTTGCATTAAATGTTTGGTGATATTAAAATATTAAATATTTTGATATTAAAAACAAATATTTTTTTAATATCACCAATAATTGATGTTGGTTTCAACGTGGTAAAGCCATGCTTCAGCTATATTAGTAGTATAGTTGTAGCACAAGTGGGTCGGCTTGAACGGGGAAGGGCCACGCTCTTACAGAATATCAGTGTAAAATAGTAGCTTAATACTGCTGTGTTTCGTATGATGAGTGTAGAGATCCGGAGACCCTTTTTTACTGGACACGAGGCATTCCATCTTAGTGCCCAGGGGTGACAATGCATCTGCGTCTCGATTCTTAATCGAGGGCCAGAGCATCCACATACCATCAGGTGGACTGTGTGCTCGTCTGTCAACCACATTCTATTAAAAAGTATAAATTTTGAGAGTGAGTTTTTTATTTAATTTTGATTGTCCGTTTTAGCAGAAATAATTTTACTGGTATATTTAAAAAAATAAGGCGTAACAATGATTTTTTATAGCATTGGGTAACAAACGAGCACATAGTCCACCTGATGGTAAGTGGATGCTGAGGCCCATAGACATTCACATTTGTCGTCAACTAAGAATCAAAATGTAAATGCGTTGTCACCCCTGAGGTCTAAGATAGAATGCCTTTATTCGAGTAAAAACGGTCTCCGGTTCTCTAGTCTCACCATACGCAGTATTACGCTGGTATTCTGCGAGAGCGTGGTCCTGCCTCGATCAAGCCGACACATTCGTGCTACGACTATAATATAGCTGCAGCGTGGATCTAACACTTGCAATTAAAAAAAAAAAACGAGAAAAAAAAGATATTGTAAGGATGCACTGCATGTTTCTAAAAAGCTAGTAAAAAAATATTCAATGCGTTTTGTAGATATTATGGTAGTTTACTGTTGTGTTCTCAACAAACTAAAACACAAAGACAATAAAAATGTTTCATTGAACTTTTTTGTAGTATAGTACGTAGTGAAAGAGGTAATAAAATCATCAGGCTTTTTTATTACTGTTTCTTTTTAATATTAATTTCTTCTTCACTTACTAGTGCCGTATAAAAACGGGGTTTAATGTGAGCGAGTAGCTTGACCTTAACAATTCGACAAAAAAGCTCCACAACTAGTTCGAGGTGTGGAAAAATGCTCAAAGGAGTCTAGGGCTAGATTTCAATAAGATTTCATTTTAAATTTATGATAATTACTTACTTTGTAATTTTCATACATTATTTAATATAATCAGGGGTTACTTTTCGGAAATCCATTATATTAAAGATGTTAAAAATTAATTAGCTAAGTCCTGCACAATGAAATAAAATAATGTCTCACCTAGTTTAAAGAGCACCTCTTGCCTTCCCTCTATTGCGTGCACTATTCCCGTCAACACTTGTACTAGCAGCACTACTTCCAACGCTACTCCACTGGGTAGGACACACCACCATCGATAATGTGACAGTTGCCTTTACACGAGACTTCCTCATGTGAAGTAGATTATACGGTAGTTGACCGGCGGTCAATTAATTTTCAACATCTTTTTTTCATACATTGACTGCCAAACTACGTTTCTCATTCAAGTAAAGGTGATACTTGTAGAACTTGATAGTTAAGGAGAGCCGTGGCAGCTTAGGGGCTAAGCGCTCGCCATATATTATATTTTACAGTACTCGAGCAATCAGTGTTTGATACCCACCAGCATCAATGAAAAATTTGATTGAAATTTTTAAGTGTCAATTTACCACGTGCTCGACGGTGAAGAAAATATCGTGGGGTTATATGTTTGTGTAATAAAATGACGTTTTACCCTTTTCCCCTTGTTAGATTTTATTATAGATGGCCTACTGATTCGATGATTATGGATAATGTATAATAAGATAATAAGAAAATATGGATAATAGAATGCTCAATGTGATGAATATTTTATAATCATGGATACCGACTTGAAATCCACCCTTCATAATTAGAATATTATTTAAATGTGTGGCACAGGGGCGATTTTCTTCAATATTTAGAAACAAATATAATTTAAAAGTTACAAAACTTTGTTAAACGTTATATCAATTCTGTAAATCCTTAATAAACCAAGGGATTCCATTATTTTAATACAACAATCGTTTCTATAATGAAATTATTTTAACGTATAGTAATACGAAATTAAAAGCTGAATAGAATTTCAATTCCTTAATTCGTCTTTTACCGACTTATCTGCTAAAATATTAGTTAATTAATATTTTGAATTCAAAAATGTTAAAAATAATTATCAACAGGATAAATACAAATAAAACAGAAAAATACATAAATTTACGAGTATGAAACGAAAGTTCATTAGAGTTATAGTATATATAAAAAAAATTGATTATCATCTGCAACGAAGATTGCTTCTAGGTCAGCGTACGGTTTACTCGTGAACTCTAAAAATTCTACCTTCTGATGCCGGATAGTATTTATAACGAAACTCTTTATTTATAGATTGATATTAACAATAAATGATTATATTTTAAAATCGTACTGCTGTAGTCGAATGTTATATACTTACAGACCCATTTTTTGTTTTTGTAAGAAGTGGCACGATCTCTCTTTCTACTGATGCTACAACCAGCAGAGGTGCGAATATAGCTAGAGATATCAACCATAGGACTCCCAATAGCATGCATGCGCCACGTCGTGATGGCATCCACGACTGTCTCAGAGATTGTGTGATGGCAAGGTATCGATCAACTGACATTGCTGTGATCGTAAATACGCTAGATGCAACTGCCACACCTGTAATAAAAAAGGCAACATTAAAACTTCAAAGAGCTTAGAGCTTAGAGCCATGCGACAGCTATATTACAGCTGTAGCCCGAATAGTTTGTCGACCGGGATTCGTCACAGAATACCAGCGTAGAATAGCAGCTGTGCTTCGTATGGTGGGTGTAGAGAAACGGAGGCCCTTTTTACCGGAAACAAGGCTTTACATTTTACTCCACACGAGTGAAAATGCATTCTGCATCTTGATTCGTAATCGAGGATAGATGTAGAAGATATCTATGGGTCACAGTAACTACTTGTCATCAAGTGGACCATGTGCTCGATTGTCAGTCTTATTCTATAAAAAAGGCGCAAAATCAATGGCTTTATGTGATTTCTGAGGCATGGGGATGCAATACTGCCAGCTTTCTGACTCCGGAGCTGCTAATAAGAGAAAACCCTAGTAACTGATTTATCCCGACCCAGAATTCCAACCCAGGACCTTTTGATCAGTGTCAGTGTTTACAATACCAACGAGGCCGTCACAAGTTTATTAATTGATTTAATGTCGGTAGTGTTTTCTATGTCATGGAACGCAAACATTTTCCAAAAAAGAGATGATGAGAACAAGCATACTGAAAGTGAGCGCGATCCAATGCAATGTTAATAACAGTGGCACCAGTCAAAACATCATATTAAGATAGTGATCTCGCGTCAAGATCACTGGCGACGTGGTCGATCCGAAGCTTTTACAGATTATTAGTTTATTCTTTTAAATAATTAAAAGTTTCATCCAATTTTGCGTCTTACTTTAATTATCTAAAACTAGAAATCTTATTTTTGATAACTAAAGTAAGATGCAGAGTACAAGTAGTACAAGGTTATTTTTATTTAATTTCTTTTTAAAGTATAAAACACCGCGCATTTTGATATAAAAACATCTCTCGAAATTCGTTGTAGTTTCCTGAGGTGAAATACACTATTTAAGATAAGAACAGGCAGCGTCCTAGCAGCGCGTCCAGAATGAATGACTAGATTTTGTTAATGTGAATCCCTAGATTGTGACACACACACACACACACACACACACACACACACACACACACACACACACACACACCCATACACACACATACACACCCATACACACCCATACACACACGCACGCACGCACGCGCACACGCACACGCACACAAAAACACACACACACACATACACACGCATGCATGCACGCATGCACGCACGCACATAACATCACACACTTATCCAAAAACCCTCATTAAATACATAAAAATTTAGTTTCTTGTTAATTTTTATAATTTATTTTGTGTTTATTTCATTCTCGCTATAGAAGAGCACATCTGCACAGGGAGAAGACCACTCACTGGCCCATACCGCAAAGAACAAAGATGATCTGCTGGGCATTCTCTTTGCGTCCAACTCGACTCTTTTATGATGGGGGAAACACAATCCTGCGGTGTGAATACTCCATGCAGGATGTACTGTTTACCCAGCGGTCGGTGCGTAGAGCACTCCCCTCCCTGGAGGTCAACAAGTCGAGTGGGCCTGATGACGTCCCTCCTATTATGCTGAAGACTTGTGCTCCCGAGTTGGCACCGGTTATGACTCGTCTTTTCCTGTTACTACTACTTCCTGGGCATAGTCTCGAAATCATGGAAGACTTGACTGAAAAAAGGTAACCACTCTGATCCTTCCAACCATAGGCCAATCGCCATCATCTCCTTGTTCTCTAAAATAATGGAGTCCATTATAAACAGCCACATCTTGCGGTACCTTGAGAATCACCAGCTAATTAGTTACCGCCAGTACGCTTTGCGTTACCGCTAGAACGTATACGTACATTTTGTGACTGGATTAAAGAATATCGACAAACTTGTTTCGGAAAATGCTTGTCTGGTATTTAACAGTTTATTGAAAATAACTTTTATGATAATATTTAAAAAAAGATAAAAATGTTGGATTATGAAGGTTGATTAACCTATACAGTCTCCTAAAACTCGGTATTAAACAGATTTTTTTCAACACCATGCTTGTTTAATTATAACAAATATGGATTTGCGATTTATGGTTAAACTTTTGGTTCTATGGTTAAACCCACATTATGAAAATTTTGGTTTCCTTTATGATTTAAACAAGTTAAAAAATACTCCAAACCATCTAATATTAAAATAACTGTCAAGATTTACACACAGCCCTGCGAGTGGGTGAAAGCAGTGACTTTCAACCTTACGAATTATGTGAAGAATTACAATTTATGATTCCTAATTTACCTAACTTCGTAACAGATGTGAAACCGCTTCTCCTATAAGTTACAGAAAATAATTTAAAAAAATATACCCAAAGATTTACATCGTTTTTTAACAATACCGATCAGTACAGCCTCCGCTGAAGGAAGCTTCTTAAAATTAGTACTCATTAAAAATTATCTCAGGAATGCAATGTCACAGAAAAGACTTTCAGCGTTGAAAATTTTATCTATCGAGGCAGATATAGCATCCAAGTTGGATTATGAGGCTATAGTAAAAAAATTCAGCAGGATAAAAAGCAGAATCGCTATTTCTTCATTTTTCTTTGAAATTGTTTGGTGAAAGTACTTAATGATTTTGTAAAAATAAAATTTCATAACGTCAAGTGTTTTTTTTTTCATTTTATATAATCCGTCTTCTTGTGCGGGCAGAGGGCCTCGCAAAATGCCCACATAAAATTTAGGTCTTGCGCCGCCACTGATCCTATCTATATTACTCTAAATATTTTCTATTACTTTGGGTATAAATCTTAACGAAAAACAAACAAAAACAACAGTAGCTTCGTCACGTAATATGAAGCGCCTGCTATCAAAACATTACGTATATTACAGATAACAGTGTCATTGTCATCTCATCTCGATAGCTAACTGAACACTAATATATTATAACAGCCAAAAAATTAAACAACAGGCACAACAGCTAGCAATGAACGAAATACTAGCAAATATATTTCTTTATCGTTATATTTAGTGTTAGTAAAATAAGCTCTTATATCGTTGTGTTAGAGTTTAAATTAGTGTAAACCATACGCAGTCCTTGTGGCACAATGAATGTAGTGTGAAGGTTGACTCCGATTGAGGCGCCGCGTCTCGGCCGACGGCTAGAGACCGTAAACTAGCTAGCGCATACGCAAATCACAAACGATAGTTGTGAGTTGTTACTGTTACTTTTGTTAGATGGCGCTTTCTAACGATATTGAATATAATGATTTCTTATGTTTACGCGAACACTACACGTTGATTAAAACTACTTTTACGGAATTTATCGCGTTTAATTTTAATTTTAATTTTTTTATTTTTTTTTATTCCACCCATGGTCACGGGGGACTGAGGTGACTGACGTCCCGATGTCATTGTTAAACCCTTCAGCTTTTTTTAATTATTGTTTATATGGTCCGATCTACGCAAAATGAACTAACTGTGTTTTGAAGTCTTGCAGTGGTATGCTTGGGTTTAGTTTTAATTTTATTAATTATTATAGGGGCCCGTTTGCCTCCTTTAAATTTTCCATTTCATTATTTTACCATAATTTGTGGTGTGTCCACTCTGCATACAAAATTAAATTCTCTCCTTTAACTTACAAATTTTCCTGAAAGATTGGCTTATAATATGGAAATCATGACATTAAATTTATAAATATTTTATTTCGAAAACCACGCAAAATGCCTATATGTTATACGCCATCATTTACTGCCTACACACCAACTTTTTATAAAAATCCGTCAAGTAGTTTTTTTTTTTTTTTGCGTGAATCGTGAACAAATAATTTTTCGACAGATTTGTTATATGTATGTAATATTAAATTGTATCATTATAAAAAGAGACATTAGAAAAGTTTGAAAATTAGGTTGTATACTTTGATGAAAATAATAACTTTCATAGCCCACATCGATTTATTAAACGCTCAGAGTACTAGGTTTCGTGATACGTAATTTACAAAATTTTTGTAAGCCGAAAATTAAAATTACTTTATTTAATCCCAGAAGCAACTTAGAGTATTATTCGACCATATGGCTTTCTCACTAGGCGACACATTTACTAAGATGACAAGAAATACAAAAGAGATTACTGTGGTATATATATCTTTCTCGATGTGGGTAGTACGAAACTTAAAATCAAATGCAATCTAATAAATCTAATAAACTAACGTAATATAATTTCAAAATTGCTTTTGACTTTAATTTCACCATTGTTCATTAAAAAAGATATTTTTTTTTCGATTATAAGTCTTAAAATTAACATAGCAAGACGGACAAAGAAATAGCCAGAGCGTGGTGTATATTTTACACACGTACTATTAAAGCGATAACGCGAATAATATGGTTTAGGCATTTGAGTTCAGCGGTGAAATTCTACGGTCTGTTAAAGAAATAACAAAATGTGTGCACGTAAAGAAGGCATCGGCTGCTTGAAACTTGAAATGTACGCAGCTTTCCTGTCTTCTTTTTTGGTATAAGCATAATAAAAAATCTAGCTCTAAACCTCGTAAACTATGACGTTAAAAATGAAACATAATTTAATTAAAAAACAATAAGTGTACCTAACGTATTGTTGGATACGTATTACCTGCCAAATATTATGGGCTCTTGATTATATAAATTTCCATTTATCGTAATCCTTTGGAACGTATCGCAAGTTACGGATAGAAAGTTTTGCTTTGCGAGCAATTTCTTATAGGCTCAAATTGTATCAAAAGAGTGTTTATCAGAGGACAGCATTTATTCCAGCAGTAGACTTTGATAGGTACAAACGAGCGCTTTTGTTCCTCATTCCTAGAAAGGTTTCAATGCGACCTTATCAACGTAATATGAGGGGAGGTCAAAAAGTTCGCGTAATGACAGGGAAAGATGATAAAATGTAACATTAAACTATTTTTCCTTTTCAATGTATTCTCCCACAACCCACATTTATTAGATCTGTCAAACAACTATTTAATACCACCTAAAAAAAGATTTTTCTTAGGCGTCAAAATAGGCCGAATTTGCGA